ATACCTAAATTGTGCCCGGTTGGCCCCCCGCAGGCCTGTTGCCTGGGGCAACATCACAGGCAACAGTCTACTGGGGGGTCACGTCCTTATATAGGCCCGGACCCCCTTAAAAAAATTTGTTGCTTTTTTTATATTTTCATTTTGGGCCGATAACACCCCACCCGAAGTGCTGGGGTCATTTGCCGTGCCAGATTTGGAGGCCGTGGCACGCGAATATATCCATGTTGTTGCGAAAGGCAACAAAAGGCAACAGCCGCTGTTAAAGGGTTAAGGTTTTAGTACCACACGAGTACTCAAAAGTAAGCCCCACGGAAGTTTGAGACTATGATATCGATGATTTCATGAGAAACGTGGATAGATGTTCAAGGCGTGGGGTAACTTATCCTCCAAGCCTTGAAAGTCAAAGTAGATTCTTCACACTTCTCTGGACAGTTGTTCCTGACAAAGGCTGCTTTTGACGCGAGCACTATTGCTGCGGTTGCAAGCTTTCCGGCTATTGCAAACCAATTGAACTGTAATTGCAACTGTATTTGAGCAAAGAAAGAAGCTACATCAATTGCTGGTGTCAAGAGAACGCTCGTTTGGAGCGTCAGACATCGCATTATAGTACGTCTCGGATTTTGCATGGGTAGTGCAACATTTCAAAGATGTATTGATATGTTTCAGATCTCACTCGAGTGCCTTGACATGACCCAGCTTGGGACGTGCAAGAAGGCTTCATGGATGCTTTTGTTAGCTTGCTCCTAATTCATCGTGTGAATTTCGATGGTTCGTGCACTTCATGCTCTCTTCATGCTAAAGCCGTAATGCCTTCAGCGGAGTTCAACCCGGATTGCAGTCCAGCAGTCATTGAGTGGTCCTCGAAAGCATTTGTATCCAAGTGCAGAAGACTTGCAAATTGGCTTCTCTGCCGCCTGGTCAAGCATGGCCCCACATTTAGCTTCTTGGAGAGGACTTTGAAGAAACGGGTATCTGAGCTGCGAAGTAGAGTCGGATCGAATGTTGGATACGGTAGTAGAGGGCGCAAGCCACACAAACAAACATTGTATGCCTTGAGAACATTGAGAAGCCTGTAGCAGCACTGGCTGCGGTGTGCGACTCAAAGAGACCATGTCGAATGCTGGCTGCAAAACCCACCGTATGTGAATATCTACGGCAATTTGTACTTGATTCGCGCGAAATGACGAACAATGTTCCCACGTGGAAGATGCGGCGTCGTGAAGTGGCTCGTGTTCGTCCACTTCACGGTCGAAAGTTTCCCTAGGACCTAGGTACGCATATACTACCGGTACCTGGTACCCAGCCTTCAAGTTGGGTGCACCCAGTACGTACATCCGGTTCAACCGGTATGGCAGTAGACAGTACCTAGTAAGTACCGTAGTAGGTAGGCAGATTCCTAGATATGCCCCAATCATTCACTAGATTCGTAGCCCTTTTGGCCAGATGAATTGACGTGGCACTTACTCATTCTGTGCGGTCGAAATATCGTCCTCAATGGCGGCTTGTCAACCGTCGATTACTCCGCTGGATTAATTGCATTGCTTGGTACATCATTGCGCAGTACGGACCCAAGCTGTAACCATGATTAGCCGCTGGCAAATCAGATCGGTTAAATGCCACAACGACAAGTTTGGCGAATAGGGACACGGTACCGAGGACGACCGGCATTGATCATCGAACGGATTTTTTTCCATGTTATGTGAAAATCGACGGTTTCAAACAGCCAAGGGTTCAAAAAACGTTCCGCGGTACTGTTGCCAGGGCATCCATAGAGACGGCCGCTCGGGTGTGCGCTGCTATAAACGGTTTGTACCGCTGTCCCTATTTTCCTGAGCAACCAAACCCGATCGGATCGTGCAAAAACAAACTGCACGGATTCCCGATGAACAGGTTTCTGTACTCGCCGGTCACCGGTGACCGGAGTAGGTACCGTACTTGGGTACCATTGGTCGACGGTCGTACCTAACAAAAGCAGTCAGACTCAGGGAGTCGAAGTGCCTTGCGCGCTGTGCCCACGCCCGGCCGTCTGCACAACTCAGGAGCCGCGCCTCTTCCAACTTCCAGGCACCTGCTACAGTGCTAGCAAATCCGCGGCTCCCTTGTGCTTTCCTGATTTGACCTCTCCTTGACTCTTCTCCACTTGCGAAAAAGCCAGCGGCTTGCCTTCTGCTCGTTCTGCTTGCTCCATCGAGGCGCTTGTGAGGAGGCTCTTGCTTTCAAGCATGCGAGTGGACAGTGCAGCTGCTGCACAGACAGTACAGAATAGTTCTCGTGATCTGGACGGGTGGTCCTCACCTCCTGTGATATACTTTTGAGACGCCTATCCCCTAATAAAAGGTTACGCGATGGGGTGGTGGTTGGGGAAGTATTTCCTTCTCTGCGTGAAAGTTGCCGTTACGCCACTCGTGTGTGGACTCAGGACCGGCGCCAAGAGGGGGGCACGCTAACTTAGATGCTTTGGCTGTCAGAAGCTGGTCGCAGTCAGGATGCAAGCATCTGCCAGGGTGGTCGGCGGCCCCGTGCTGGGGTCGCTTCCAGGTCTCCACAGGGCTGCTTCTTTAGAAGTTGAGACGCCCTTCAAGCATCCACGGTCTTCCTGCAGGGCGAAAGGGTCAGGGGATGGACATCCAAGGGTGGTGTCAGGAACCGATGGCTGTCCGCTTCTAGTGCAGAAGTATACATTTTTTGGAGTCAAATGTGAGGGGGGGCGGTCAGCACGCCAGCAGAGGAGCGTGCGCTCTCCATTTTCTGTGTCTGCGAGTGTTGCGGAGCCTCCTGTTAAGGAGGCTTTGGGGTTTGATGCGCCTCTGCCAGCGCCAGAGCTCCTGTCTGTTTTCGACTCCCCCTCCCCCTTTGTGGTCACCTCGCCAGAGTACCCCACGCTATCAACTGATGACAACCACCGGCCAACCTACCATTTCCAACCACCTGCTGGTCAGTCTGCGCTCCTCTTTCTCTATGTCTGCTCATATTGTAGGGCGCGCTGGAAGCTGCAGAGGTGTTGTGTTCTGTGGATATCCTTGCGACAGGTGATCTGTGCATCCTTTTGCGACAGGTGTTGGTCAACCAGGCCCGCCAGCGCTGAGACCCTGCTCTTCTCGACCAGGACTGTGCTTCTCGTGCAAAGACGTTGAGCTGACAAATGTTTGAATTGAGTTGACTGGACAGTCCTTATTTAAGCAGTCAGCTCAAGGTGTGGGGGCACTCTCCGCAGGATTGGCAGCTGAACTTGCAGGGTGACTCTTCTGCCTAGCTGACAAAGTGCGTGTGCATTTGCAGGTTTCATGAATGACCCAAACGGCCCTGCTTTTATTGGAGGCCAGTATCACATCTTCTATCAGGTGCGTTTTATCACAACAGACTGAGCTTAGTCTATAACCTGCTGGCTTGCACACAGCTGCTGTCCTGTGTTGCAAATAAGAGAGTCCCTCCTTTTCCAGCTGCTCTGCTTGAAATGGCAGCAAGAGGTTGGTTTTGAAAAAGCTGTTCCATTTCAGAAGTGTTGGTTGTCTAGTGGTGGTTCATCCTGATTAACATGGACCATGTGCAAAGGAAGCTCAGTCTTCTAGGAATCTGTTTTGTCTTTGTTTCTCTGTATCTTGTGAAAACAGAGTGTTTGTTAGCCGCTGCATACACCCCATGCCTGTCTTCCTGAACGTACATTGCATAGAGCTTCTGCCAGTGTATGAGGCTCAGCTGCTTTCTGGTCCTCATCTATCTACTTTCTCACCGTCTGAGTAACACCTTTCCAACCTTTATTTGCTCTTCCAGCTAAATAAGTTCGTGGGGTTGTTTAAGTTGGGGTTGGCCTTGGTTGGCCTGATGGTTTATGAAACTTGTTAGAAAAGCGTAATCTCTCAGAGAGGCACCAATGAGTGCAGTTGCAGCAGATGAATCTTCGCAGCACCATTTGCAATACTGAGGGCAGGGACCTTATTTTTTTGGTGTTTTTCAACAAACAAAGTATGGACATGGAACTTATAAGTATGGGTGTTTTTCTAGAAATATAGTATCGACATGGAAGATCTGAGTAGACACAAGATCCAAAGATTCGGTTTATCTTTTACTTGCTGTTCCTTGTACAGTGCGACACGTTCAATTGAGTCATGTTTTGTATCATTGTTTCTAAGTCACTGATTTTTTATGTCCCAGCTTACCTCCTGTTCCTTCTTGATGTGAAGTCTGTCAGTTCAGCTCCAGAGTGGACAGAAAACTGTTTACTTGTATCGCTGCAGCTCTATTCTTCCTCCAAGTAAGCTGAGGCATCTCGAGGGTCTCAGCTGAATTGAAAATGACGAAAGGGATGCATTCAGCTAACAGGTTTTCCTCTTCTTCCCCGCAGCACAACCCGGCGCGCGCTGCCTGGAACTGGGGCGTCTGCTGGGGCCACGCCGTTTCCTCTGACCTGGTCCACTGGGAGCACCGCCCGCTGGCGCTCACGCCCACCCCCGGGGGGTACGACCAGGACGGCGTCTTCTCTGGCTGCTGCGTCAACAACGACGGCATCCCCACCCTCCTCTACACAGGCGTCCAGGTGGCGACGCCCGATAGGCCGGTGAATGTGACCTCGGTGTCTCAGCTGCTGGGGGCGGCGTTCTCGGAGGTGCAGTGCATGGCAACTCTGGGGCCGGACGGGAAGTTCTCCAAGGGGCTGGCGCCAGTGATTTCGACCCCCCCGGCGGGGCTGGATATCGTCGGGTTTCGGGACCCGTATGTTTGGCGGGAAGGCAACGAGTGGATGATGCTCCTGGGGTCGGGGATCAAGGAACAGGGGGGCACGGCGCTTCTTTACAAGAGCCCGGACCTGCACAAGTGGGAGTTCGTGCAGCCCATTCACATCGGGGACCACACAGAAACGGGGACCATGTGGGAATGCCCCATCCTGCTCAAGCTCGGCAAGTGGCACATCCTGAGCGTGTCGCCCGACAATCCGGCCAACCCGATCCTGTACTGGATTGGCTCCTTCAGCAACGGCACCTTTGTCCCCTATGGAGCCCCCCGGAGACTCGACCTGGGAAACGTGTGCTACGCCCCTAACAGCTGCATTGACGGGAAGGGCCGGCAACTAGTGTGGTCCTGGATCCAGGAGGTGCGCAGCGAGGAGGCGAGCGTGGCGGCTGGGTATGCGGGCTGTCTAACCCTCCCCCGCGTGTTGTCGATGCTCGACGACGGGCGGTTGATCCAGGAGCCCGTGGAAGAGATGAAGCTGCTGCGCGACCGGCACCTGGTGCACGAGACCGACTTTGCGCTGCGGAGCGCTCGTCCCCGCACCTTCAACGTGCACACAGGCACCCTGGAAATCGAGGTCGAGATCGAGCGTGGGGGCGCCGACGCAGTCGGGATCGACATCCGGGAGACCCCCACGGAAGATGAGGTGCTTGAGAGTGAGTGTGGGCCGGAGGGGTGCGGGCTGGAGGCCACGCGCGCGCAGCGGGTGTTACGGACGGACCCTCACGAGGGGGTGTTGGTGTCGTACGATTACAAGAAGCAGTGGCTGGAGGTGGCGTGGTGGCAGCCCGGGCCGGACGCGGGAACCGACTCTCCGGGAGAGCTGGTTTCTAAGGGCGGCCCATTGACGTTGGACGAGGGCGAGAACCTGAAGCTGCGCGTCTTCCTGGACCGGAGCGTCGTGGAGGTGTTTGCCAACAGCCGCGCGGTGCTGACGACTCGGATGTACCGGAATGTTATCGGTGCGGCGCTGATTGCCAAGGGGGGGGACGCGGTCGTGAAGCAGGTCGACATGTGGCAGATGGGGTCCATGTGGGACCCGCAGCTGAAGGACAGCCCCCTCGTGCCGCAGCTCAAGGATAACCCGTACGTGTCTATTTAAGACATGTTGGATTTGGCGGTGCCGTGATCCTTCCCGAGATCAGTGTTGGTTCTTGTGTCACAAAAGCGTCAGAGCTTGCGTCCGCGCCTGTGTTGCATCAGCGAAGTAGCGCAGGAGATTTAGTCGAGTCGAAGTCCTTGGACTGCACGTCAATCTTTCGAGAGGGTTTCCTCAAGCTCGCACACGTCAATGAGCGACGCGATTAATATAGGGCATTTATGGGGGTACATAGACCAACATTTTTTGCCAGACAAGGCACAGAATCTGTTGAAAACCGACTGTGCCGCTCATGCGTATTGATATTAATTAAACAGCACTTAGGCGAATGGATAGTAGATTACATTATTTGATTTCAGAGACTGGATTACAAATAGCTCGAAAGTTGTCCGACCTTATTGCATGTAGGATCATGTAGATCAACCGTCCATTTTCTAGATTAACAAGTGTCATCACTTTAGTTCGGGTTGCCGGCGCTTCCGACACGTTATTCTCCATCTCCAGGCTAGCCATGCCAGCAGCTTTGGATTAACATTGTGAGGTTAATGATCTGCCAGGTATGTATTGAATTTGAACTTTACTTGCGCGTTCATTTAATGACGTGCAAGCATCATGCGAAAGTCGTACCATGGCGGTGCGCCATGGCACCATTCCGGCGGCAAACCGTCCATGAAGAGTCTCCACCATGTCATGCATGCAGCATACGGCATGTGGATACGGCGTTCTGGGAATTGCGAACGCATTATGATCATGTTGAAGTCGCGTGCAAGACTTTGGCCGCGGCGTCCGTGGGCACCCGGCTAGAAGAATCCGCGGCCGCTGATCATAGTCACGGACTTGAAATCTTTGGATCGTTTAGTCATCCCGATTAAGCTAGTTGGAAGTATAAGTGAATGCTTAATTGACTCTTACACAGTAATGTATCCATTATGTACATCAATCATGTCTGCTGCACGGAACATATGCCATGCATGCTTGCATGCATTGATATTCCATTGGTGAATAGATTCACTACGTGTGTAATCAAGCGGTGACAGCATATATATGGAATTGCAACATACCATGTTGAATTGCAGTAGAACATACCGTCTCATGCTCGACTAGCTGGGGAGAACTGAACCAGTCGCATGCCAGCGTAGGACCTGAACTCATGTGACTCCCAAATGTGTCAGTGCTGAGCGCGTTTTGTCGGACATGTTTCACGGAGGCTGCCATTATTGCCGATAATGACATAGTGTCAACCCAGTCTCAGGCCAGTGAAGCTTAATGGCTCAACGTGGCTCCAAGTGTTGATGTGAGGTAATTCAGAAAGACCACCAACCTCTTTAGCGTTTTGGACTGCGGTTGGAGCATCAATACGCTATTTCTTTTGTACACGCAAGTTGCAGTTTTTGATCGAGGTCTCACGAAGATTTGCAGTTCTGTTCAGCACGTCACTTCCGGGCGTGCCTGCTGGCACATGCTAATCTGTCCGGCCTCGTCTTCGCTCTAGTCGATGTGAATAGTCAAAAAGGGCTACTTGATCAAAACCAGATTGGAACTTAGGCCGGCTGGTGCAGCCAGTTCTGGAAACCGGAATGAGGATTCTAACTTGCGCTGCTTCCAAACAGTAAGAAAGCTCCATCGGTACAATGAGTCCGCTAACAGTCGGCCGAGGAGGGCCAATTCCTCCTCACTTAATCCTACGCTGCTAAAATCAATGTTAAATAGCTAAAGAACAGAAATTGTACATTTGCACTCCCTTAGGGTCTCAACACAGTTCCGCGTGCCCGACTAAACTCATTCGTCGATCCTCCACAGACCCAAACTATACACACCTGTTTTCAATTAGCAAGTCTTGAAAGTGTCTAATCATTCTACGTCAGCTCTACAGTCAGCTCTCTTGCCGGCAATCTGCACTTCAAACCCCTCTATGCTACAAACAAGAACGGCGAATGTGCCGAGAATCCACAAGAATCACCTGCGCTTTGCGTACCAATTCCCGGCTCATACCAGGTTCCCAACTTCTAGCCTGCATTTTAAGCCGCGCGCGCTAGTTCCGGTTCCGCTTCCTGTCTCATGCTCCCCATCCGCCACATATCCACCGACTGTACTTCTGCGTCCCCCCCCTTCGCAATCAGCGCCACCCCGATCACCGCCCGGTACATCCGCGTCGTCAAGCACGCCCGATTATTCGCAAACACCTCCACGACGCTCCGATCCAGAAACACCCTCAGATCCAACGGCTCATCTTCGTCCAGCGACAGCGCGCCTCCTTTCGAAACCAGCTCGCCCCGCGCCTCGGGGCCCTGGTCCGGCCCGGGCTGCCACCACGCAACTTCCAGCCACTTCCGTTTAAAGTCATACGACACCAACACCCCCTCATGGGGGTCGGTTCGCAGCATCCGCTGCGCGCGAGTGGCGGCCAGAGGAACCGGGTCCTCCACCCGGGGGGCCTCGTCTGCTGGTAGCATGCTGGTGCGCAGCTCCCGGATGTCGATCCCGACCGCGTCGGCTGTCCCCCGGGCGAAGCGCGCCTGGATTTCGAGGCAGCCGGTGCGGACGCCGTACAGGCGGGGGTACTTCCCGAGCGGGATGCGGCGCTCGCGCACCAGCTGTGCTTCGCGCAATAGGGACAGCTCCTCAGCAGGGTACTGAGAAAAAAAGGATGCACCGATTCGTTTGTCGATCGACAAACGATGCACGAAGACTTTTTGCTGTCTTTGGATGGACAATCGTTCTGAGTGATAAAACTCTTCTCTATGGTGTATACAAGCCCCAGCAAGTTCCACTAAACAAATCGGACAAACGTGCGACGAAGATTCTTCTCCAAGTTCTGGCAATTCCAACTTTATCGGTCTGATCTTCGAGGAGACAACCCATTATCCACGATCCCCTCGGAAAGTCTCTCGGGAAGTCAGAAGGTGTCTACGTCTTCGAAGAGGAGCAGCGCTATGTAGCTGCGGTTCGAAGAGTCCGGCATGCGTGATACGGCAAAAGATTCAATACAACGACAATAAACCATCAGGACCTGCGGCAGTTTCGACGCAACGGAAATGAGCATCAGAAAGTGCATTCAAGTCGGTAGCCATCGTCCTACTGAAGGAAAGAGCCAACCGCCCGTTGGTGATTACTTTCAACCACGAGTAAGCCTAACTCACCTGCAGCAGCTCCCCGTCATCCGATATGGCGACGACACGTGGCAGCGTGAGGCAGCCCGCGTAGCCGGCCGCGACGCACGCCTCGGAGTCGCGCACTTCCTGCACCCAGCCCCACAGCAGCTGCCGCTGCTTGCCGTCCACGCACGTGTTGGGCGCGTACACCACGTTGCCCAGGTCCAGCCGCTTGGGGGGACCCACCGGGATGAAGTGCCCGTTCAGAAAGCCGCCCACCTGCGGCCGGGGAGAGAGCCCAGAGGGGTGGCTTGTTTGAGGAACAAGTAAGTGGTGGAATCGAGGAGATGCAGGCCAAGAATTTATGCTTCGAGCAAACGCAAAGCCAAGCACAAACTGGCTCTCTCCGGTTTGAAAGTAGTTCGGCAACTTTCGAAAGGTCCAGACGGACACAATGTCAAACCAATTCTTTCGCCTCGGTCGGATTCAACACGCGAATCCGTTTGTTTGACTCGGTCTAGACAGTTTCCAACTTGATCCAGATTCATCCACTTCGGCCAAGACGGATTTGAACCGGCTCATTCAGAATCGGGCACAACCCAAGATCGGAATCAATGTGAAAAACCTTAATCAACCCTCGGCGGCTCACCCAGAAGAGGACGGGGTTGGCCGGGTTGTCGGGCGACACGCAGAGCACGTGCCACTTGCCGAGCTTGAAGAGCAGCGGGCACTCCCACATGGTCCCGCTCTCCTTGTGGTCGCCCACAATCAGCGGCTGCACAAAGTCCCACTGCCGCAGATCCGGGCTCCGATACAACAACGCCGTTCCGCCCACTTCCTTTATCCCCGACCCGAGCAACATGAGCCACTCGTCGTCTTCCCTCCACACGTACGGGTCGCGGAAGCCAACTAGATCGAGCCCCGCGGGCGGGGCGCTGATGACGGGGCCGTGCTTGATGAACGTGCCGTCGTCTTTACACGTGGCGACGCACTGGACCTCGGAGAAGGCGGCGCCAAGGAGTTGCGAGACGGAGGTGACGGGGACGGTGCTCTCGGGGCCGGCGATCTGGACGCCCGTGTACAGGATCGTGGCCACGCCCTGGTCGTTGACACAGCACCCGGAGAAGATGCCGTCCTAAGGGGCAGGAAGAAGGAGTAGTGTCAAAACGGGCGGGGGTGGAAATGATGGTTAAAAATGGTTCTTGTCAATCGTAGATGAATGTTGAAGGACGTTAAATGGCTGGGAGCCGCTGAAGAGGCAGGTCGAATGATCCGTTTCGTCCGAAGAATTTTTGAGCAAGGACTTTTGAAAACATTCCGAGCAGGGACTGTAGGGATCCTCTGAGCTGGAAAGGAGAGGGGAACCTTCCTCCAATTCAGAAGTCCAGGTGGTCGTGCTTGGGTCTACAAACAATGTCTGGTGAGTCTCGTGACAACCTGACGATCACAAGGCCGCTGACGTCCTGGTATGGCAGATACACATCAACCTGCTAACACACCCAGCCTATCTCCAAATAGGTTGATTATTGTCAAGATGCTCTATCTCAAACTGCAACACACGATGAACTGCAACAATCGATGGAAACCAGGAGCGAAACTTAGGTCCTCACTTGGTCATACGAATTTGGTGTAGGAGTAAGCGCCACAGGGCGGTGCTCCCAGTGCACCAGGTCAGTGGACACAGCATGGCCCCAGCAGACGCCCCAGTCCCACAGAGCGCGGAGCGGGTTGAACTGGTAGAAGATGTGGTACTTGTTGTCAATGAACACGGGGCCTGCAGAACGCACAGAAGCGGTCAGACAATTGCATTGTACGCTGCGGACTCTTTGGACCGTCGATGTTTCAATCATGTCTTACTTGTGCAGGTGGTGCTTTTAAAATGCGCTTGCGTTTTGGTGATGGAGCGGTTCCATTGTACGGAAAGTCGTAAATGTGATCCGTGCCTTGTGCACATTTGAAGAAGACAAATGGACTGAGGTACACGCACGCAGACAACCTAAAATCTGGCGTGTATGTTGTTTGTGCAGCTCCTGAGTCCTTAAATGTCAGATGGAAAACAAATAAGCCGACGGTGGCGCAACCAAGAAAGTAGCGCAGGCTAACAGGGAACATGATGGCGGCATGACAACTCTCAATCAGCTGAGATGGGGGTGAAAATCTGAACAATGGTACCGGTTGTAGCAATTAAGGTAGAAAGCTCTCATCGACCTCTATATTTCATTCTGAACCCAAATTTACTGTAAGTACAATCTAAGCATTCAAAACTCCACAACCCGTCCAGAGAGAACAGTCTCATCAGCCAACAGACGGACCTCGATCCAGATAGGACACTGGCGGACATGTTTCTTTTGACTCTCCGTCTCATAATGACTTTTTTGAATGCGTATAGAAGCATGACATTTGAGCATTGGTGTGGCACAAGAGGATGTGGCAGGTGAAAATGGAACTCCAAGCCAATACCCTGCCCTTTCTTAAAACTGCACACACTCACCGTTCGGATCATTCATGAACCCGGACTCCGGTTGGAAGTGGTACGAAGGGCGGTGCGGATCAGTTGCCGACAAAACTGGCTGGTCTGCGGGAGGAGCGTCTGGGCCCCCAGCTGACCCAAAAAGGTCCCTTGTGGCCAAATTGGGCAGCTCTTCTGTCTCACTCTCCGACGAATCGCTCTCAGACTCGCTCTGAAAGGTGAGGTCCAAAATCTGCTCCTTGAGGGAGCCCTCAATGGTGACAGAGGCTTCGGCCTCCTCCCTTTCGAAACCCGCTGGTTCCTCGCCAGGTGTTTCCTCTGGCTCTGACAGTACCGGTTCTGGTGTCAGAATTGCTGGCTGATCTGCAACGCTCAGCTCCGACTCTCCGTGAGAGGCCCTGTTGACTACCTTTGACCTCTGAGGTGCCTCATCAGCTCCGTTGTTTGGCTCCAGGAATGAACCTCTGAAGCTCCTGTGGTTGATTAATGGAGTGGACGGTGTGGCAATGTAAATTGGCTGATTCTGTACACGCCAGATCCCGCTGCATCGGACTGGCCCAAGACTTCCATTTGTACAATTAAGCGAGCGACTAGCATACTGGGGCGTTGAAAGCAATGACGCTCGCCCGGCCCAAGGCAACACGCGGGGCTCCCTAAAAGGTCTGCTGTCTGTGTGGGAGATCTCTGGCGGCCGTGCTGTTCTCCCTTGCAATGCTGCGGTCCGCAGATCTGCGGCCGCCCAGGCTGTCCCTACGCCGGCGCTCAGCATGTTGATCAGCAGTACAGCATGAGAAATCACGACGCTACAAAGCGGAGCACACCGAGTTAATCGTTCTTGCAGGCCCTCTTCTTTGGCGTTAACACTATCCCTGCTGCAGATCAGCCCGCATCAGAAATATCTTCAGTGTCTATGTACAGCAAATGCGCTTTTGCAGTTCCCCCACCAGCTTCCTTTTCGGCGACATGAAGCTTCCGAGCTCGTCATATTGCGGTATGTATCTGCTGGGAATTCAGCTCGTGTCCCACGATTCATGCACTGGCCAGAGGGGCGGCCAGTAGGCCGATCACACTCCGACCAGCTGGCCGCCATTGCGTGTGGTTCTCGTCAACACAGGATCTCTGAGAAAGTGCTGGCGGAAGGATAGCCTATGCAAGGGTTCCGCGCTGTCTCCTTGAGAATCCCAGGATCAAGGACCGAGGATATTTTGAACGACAAGTGGCTCACCTCTAGCGAGAACGATACACGTGGCAGCCGTCAGGAGCATTACCGGTTAGTGATATCTAACTTGCGTCAGCATTTGACTCTTTTTGACATTGTTGACGTCATGCTCACTCATATATCAGTTTGATCGACACCGTCCATCTGATTTGGACTAGCGGATCGACGGTCGTCGGAAGTCCACTCTTTCCTGCGCGGGTTCTTATAGGTCCCCGGCGGTTGAATGTTTCTCAAGGGTTGCAGCCTGAGTGTTAGTTGGCAGGTAGTTCCTAGCTCAGGGTGTTGAATTTGAGACATCTGAGACTGAGTAGAAAACCAGACTTTGTAGTTGGCGTCAAGGTATGTGTGCACACGCCCGCTCTGGGTGCCACTTCGAGAACACCCATCATGATGTTGCATCTATCTTTCTCTAACCACTCCAATTTTGGCAGTCTGTCTGAGAACCGGCGTTTGTTAGTGCAGCGTGAGCGCGGACAAGTGGGTGCCGCCAGGGCGGGGTCGTTGGCTTACATATGGCGCCTATGACCTGCGGTTGTGATTAGTGCGCGGCCTTGCAACGTGGCTTTATGAAGGGGACACGGTCGGTCGGCCCCAGGCCCGGTCAATGTGCCCTGTATAGATTGGCTGGCACCCATGCGCTTGATTGTCACTCGCAGTAGGATCCGCAAGAAAGCTCACCTCTTTGTGAACTCGCAAGCCTTCAAAGCTTGCCATGCATAGTCAGACTAGACATCCCCACCCTTCACATGGTGTACAGCTCTAATAATAGGACGCTTGGACTTTTTTGCCTGAAACTAGCTGCTCTCAGCTAGACATGGTGCATCATCAAGCTTGTTCGATTACATGGAGTCCATATTCAATCGATTGCAATCAGTCATGACCAAAGGAACTTTGTTAAGAACGGTATTTCGTCTCAAGAGTAACGTTGCACATCAAACACTCAGACCTTCTTTGTCGACCATTGCTAGCTTCTTGTAGAAGTGCATTGTCCAAAAATCTGCAGCCTCACTACATCTTTCTTGGTCCGCAGTCACATCTCAACGTCCTCAACCGACTAGGCTTACAGATGATGCTTATGCAATGTCCTTATAGCCGTCTAGAAATGGTGACGGGTCGTGTAGAGCTTTTTTGGCCCTCCAGTGAAGTGCTGCAGCTTTCTGAGTCTGCCCGCTCTGCAGACAAAGCAGATGGAGAACTTTAAAGACCGGCCAGTACATGTCAAGACAATGCATTCTGCACGGCACCCTACGTACTTCGAACTTCGTCTGACGCTTGAAGTTAAAACAAACAAGCCAACTTGAATTACACCTGCAAGACTACCTTGAAAACCAAACATAAATGGGACGAAACGGTAAGGGCAACAGCTACAGTACTGCGACGAGGCACCTCAGCTGCAGATCTGTGCAACCCACACCTCACATTTCAATGCTGACAGCCCCGACAACAACGTGTCCTTCCACGGCAAGCAAAAGAACCAAGGGCGAAGTTGGGAAAAGACGGAGCCGGCCAAGGCCATCAGCCTCCTACTTGGCTATCGTGAGTCAGACATTCTCTGAGAGCCGACCGCAAAGCGCTCACCTGCATCTCCTGTTTGCAGTACTCGAGCCACAGCTCCCAGGCCTGACTATGCACCTCCAACGCCGCCTCGAACAGCGGCCGAATCGCCGCCATGCTAGCTGCCGCGCCGTTGATGCACGCCAGGCTCTCGAGCTGGATGCACTTTTTGTAAAGGGCGAGGCCGGGCCCGGGGAGAGCCAGCAGCCTGTAAGAGGTTGAGAGGTTGCGACTGACTATTAAGCAGGTTCGGCGGATACTCGGGAACCGGCTGTGCTTTACAAACGATGACCACGCCTGCAAGCCTCGCAAATGGTTAAGCGAAGGTCCTGTTGATGGCCCTTCCCAATAACCGAGATGCAAACAGATCAAAACATGCTGATGCTCAAATGAAGGTCGCTGAACTCAAAACCAATTGTTTTTCACGAAAAAGAGGGGCATCCGCAACAAGAAGCATTCTTGCAGTTTTATGCACACTTTCGAGTATGATTAGAGATCAGTCAGCTCCGAGAGCGAAATGGGGAAATTGGTCGTCACGAGCCATCAGAATGCACAGATAAGTGTGGCGAGGCACATAAGTCGGAGACAAGGAGTCGCGTCAAAGGTCATGAGAGCAGGGAATACTCTCTTGTGCCATGGGCTGGGCGATGCGAGAAATGCTCCCTCCAATCGTGGCTGAATTTGAGTTACCTGGAGTAGAGTCTGCGTGCGGCTGGCAGCCCTTTGTTGAGCAGGGTCCAGTCGACGAGCGCACACGCGAGGCCCTTCCCGTCGGAGCCAGTGCCGCTCTGCACCCGTGCCTCAGCAGCAACGAGGAGACGGTCCGCAGAAGCAGTTCGCAAAGAGGCACGCTCGGCAGCCTGCGGCATCAAGCGACGAGGCAGTAATCAGCGAGACTGCTGAAAAGAGAGCGAGTTCGAGATCGCGGTGAGAAGGGTGTCAGATAAATGTGCGTCGCCACTCAATGACCTAACAACTGAGGAAATATTTGTACTTGATGACAAGCTTGAAGCGGAAGCAAGAAGGGGATGGTATAGTTGGCGGTTGCAGATACTCAAGGAAGAGTCGAAAGTGCATCTGGACGCGCGTAAGTCGCTGAGCGGGCTTTTGGAGATATGACGTGCGCTGGAAGTTCGAAACGCATCGTTCGATACTCTTTGCCTACGGAAGCATAAAATTCTGGACGAGAAAGCTGGGACGCTGCGAGTGTATCTCGTCCAGGCAAAAAGCTACTACTGTTTCTTTCAAACAGTAAGTCCTGGGTTCTGTCGCTTCACACAAACTCCCCAAGATCGTCCCAAAGCACCACATCCAGGACTGAACCATAATACGCGTCGTGCAGAAGACCAAAATGATTCAATAGGGGACAGCATCGTTCCAGCGACTCACCAGGCTCCAGACGGGCGTCACCTCGCTGAGCGGCACCGCTCTGAGCCCCCTCTCAAACAGCGCGTCCAACCGCTCCTCTTTGTCCTCTCCCTTTCCCCCGCTCCTCGATGTTTCCAGCCCCAGCCTGAGCACCCACATCCGCGCAGACCCCTCGAACCCTCCCTCGCAGTAAGCAGCCGCGGTTTCCAAGGCGGCTGCTCGATCACCCCGCTGCAGCAGCAGTGCCACGTGGCGCTCCGTCATTGGCTCCGACGCCAGGCCCCTCTCTCTACACACAGCTAGGTGTTTGAGTAGCAAGTCGACTGCATCTGAAACACTCCCAATCCCGCCTTTGCCTTTCGAAGTTCCCGCCCCATCTGCGCTCAGCTCTTGTATGCAGTCATCCAGAAAGGCAGCATACAACTCTGCCATTCTGGGCGTTGCTTGCGCCTCGAGAGCTTCTCGAAACGTCTCTGCCGTCTTCCCTCGCGCTTCTGACGGGGTCAATGCCCCCACCCTGCCGCGGCCCCTGCGCTGATCCCTCACCCACCGCAGCGCCAAACAGGCCCGCCCGTCTTCGCTGCTCGCAAAGTCCCTCTCAATGCTAGCATAAACCTCCTCCTCTAGTTGCTCCAAACCGTCAAAGTCGAACCCCTCCAATACCTCCAAAAACCGCACCCGCAGTTCCAGATTATCAGGGACACTGGCAATCGTGTTCTGGAACGTGGCTGCCGCGACCTTATACCCAAGCTGATCAAGACTTGCTGACGCCCCATTCGAGGTTTCAGCTGCTGCCCTGGATTCTTCTACCTTCTGCCTCTTTGCTTCCGGTGCGGCTTCCCCTCCGTTGCCAGACTGGTTTGCAGCCCCTCCAAGCCCAAGGATCTCACGACGGGTCTTGAGGCGCTGCGCGTAGGTGAGCTCCATCTTGAGGTACTCCAGCCAGAGCTGCCCCGACTTGGGGCACATGCGCAGGCCGCGCTGCATCAGCGACCGTGCGGCCGCGGCGTTCTGGTTTGCTTCGAACTCCCATGCGGCTGCGTAGATCCAGAGGGCGGGGCGCGCAGGGTGCAGCTGGAGGGCTTTTGTCAGGACCTGCGAATAGGAGAGCGGGGTTCTTGACTACTGGGACAATTGCGCCAGAGACCAGGCACGGGCCTTCGTCCCAACGTGATGCAAGCATCAGCCACTTCTTGGATTGTCTATTCTCTTTGCAGCGAAGAGTGCCTTACACTTCCCAAGTGAAGGGCAATAACTCTCCAGTCCTGTTCTAAATCGAGCTGAGATTAAAGACCTTTTTTTGGGGGTGGGGTAAGAAGGGGGCACCACATTTTCCAGTATAGCTGGCCTTGAAAAGATCTCTAGAAGCTCGTTCAAATTCGGAGTTTGGAGATACCAGAGTTTACTGAAGCCGAAGATACCCAACACTCGCCCACCTAGGTCACTGATTCCAAAACAAGTGTCCAACCGCGGCGATCACATGCCACCACTTTGTGCTAATCAATGAGACGCCCATCTGGCCCGCATTCCTTTTACAGTCTGGCCAGCTCGCGCCCCTCAACTTCCTTAATTGCCAGCTCAGAACGACTACTGTCTAGGACCTACACACCTTCTGCATCTGCCTGGACCCACTCTTGCTGCGGCAGTACTCCAGGTAGTGAAACCAGAGTCCGAGGTCCCCCTTGAACTTGCGGCTGGCGCGCTCATAGATGAACATGATGCGCCGTGTGATTGCATGGTCGCTCAGGCTGGACCGCCAGCGCACGCGCGCGTTGTCAGCCTGCGGGCAGCATGGGACGCACAACTCGGTTATCTTGTGTGCCGCACAATCACTGCAATTCAGACAACCTGCTCATCTGTCATCAACAATAACATCAGAAAGGAAGTAGGTATATCCAGCAAAAGCGGGCCCGACCATCATTTTGACCAACAGGACGTAATGTGCCGCACTTGCAAAGCTGGGCGACAGGCCAACAAACCATACCTGCAGCTGCTTGAGCAGAAGATTCTTCCTATGTTGCCTCAGCGCTTCTAGCTTTGTCTCGGAGTCAATGTAGCGGAGGTAGTCCTCCTTCAGGCCTCGGCGTCTCTTGAGCAGATACTCAAAATCTTGACGCCTGTAACAGAATGCAAAAGAAACCATCACAAGCTGCATGACAGTGAAGTAGTCGAAGGGATCAAGCCAGCATTGCTGGCGGATCAGTGTGTATTCACCATTTCAGCACGATGAAAGGGTGGTGTGCAAGTGTGTGTTTTCGAACTAGTGGTGCTTGCTGATTTTCCAACGCTCCTGTCATCAGAAGTCTGGTTATCTTTCTTGACATCACACTTCAGCTACAAGACATTGAGGATGCATAATAGCATGAAGAACAGCACAAGTCCAGTATCTTCACTCTGCACCTCCTGCAAAAGCTATCCTTGTGCGCTATCTGCCACGCCTAAGAAAGCCATCAGATTGATGTTTGCAAACCCCTTAAAAATTGGTAATGGTTTCAGAATCTGAACAGCAGCCTGGCAAAATATCAAATGCAAGTATGGTGTGCCAGAAAGCTGCCGATTTGCCAAAGGCTTCAAAGCTAGCCATATGCCTGGACGGACCGCACTACAATCTTTCGCTGCAATATAGCGGGAAGTGGACCACTCACTTCTTTACAATCTGCTTGATCTCCGCCTTCTTGAAGAGGCCCCTCCTCTCCAGGTCCTCCAGCTCGGGGACCATCTGCTCCATCAGATAGTGCACTGTGTCCGCCATGGCTGCTCCTCAGAGACACTCCCTGGGCCTTATCCCGTTGCTTCCCTGCTCGCGCCCACCCACTCCCCGCTCCTATGAGAATGAAGATTGCCGCAGCTCAAACGGAAGTTGCTGACCGACCAGATATTCTCTCGTATTTAATGTATTAGAATTGACGTCCTTCAGACTTCTTCTCTAAGCACAGCCTTGTTCTACCTCCGGACTCATCACAAACTGGTCCCTATTATACGGGAAAAGAAAGCGGCTTCTGCTCCAACAAAAATTGACGCGTCCGATCACGAAAATTTGGATATTTGTTGGCAAAGATGTGAGATGTGAGAAAGATGGTCACTCCGACTCCTACTACCGGTACTACCGTACTGCTTTTTAATATCGGCACCTTCGACGCAAAATAGTTCATTATGAAACGTTTGAAACTTTCGGCAGACTCAGCGTTACCTGCTAAAAAGAACCGTTATCGACCATCATCGCTCTTGGATAATTATTTAAAATTTTCAGCAGGCCAAATAATTATATATTTTTTGCCGAAATTATAGGTGGAAAAAAGCAGTACGGTACGTCGGTAGTCCTGAAGGAGTCGAGCAACGTGCAGTGGCAGCACTTGGCAAAAATTGCATTTTCACTGTGCAGTTCTGCCACTGCTGGGGACGCTTCCCTCCTCTCCAAACCTTTCCTTCCCCGTCCCTGGAGGCCTCTTTGCACGTTTCAATAATCGAGCTCTCCCTTACTGGCAACCATTGAAACTCCAAACCCCCTCACGTACGATCAGCACACTGCATTTTACTGCACATCTGCGGCCTATTGTGCTCCTTTTCCAATTGATTGACGCTTCCCCTTTACTTCAACTGATCAAGAGGCGGCACAGGATGGCTGAATCTAGCTCATTAAGTTCTCCTTCAAAGCCATGGAGTGCCTATGTGCACGACACTTACATCCCCACTGTCTTGGAAGCTCAGGAGCTGAGCAAAGTGGAGGACCCTGAGAATGAGCCCTTCAAGTCTAAGTACCTGGCAATTGAAAAGCTGAGCAACCTTAGACACCAGGGAGCCGCATATTCTCGAGCAGAGGGCCTCTTATGTCCAGAGGAGAAGGTGAGCAAGGTCTTGCATCATTCTCCCCTGTTGTTCCAGCTGATCCAATACTCCCTCAGGCTTCTGCAGCCCCTAGAACGTGCCTTTCAGCTCCAATCTGTAGCCTGTCTTCTATAAGCTCTGTGCAGGTGTTTCTTGATCAAGCACAATCAGTTGCTTATACTCTGATGCAGACGACGCAAACTGTAAGCACTTTCAAAATCTTGGGAATACTGATGCACTAGCTCATGACAAGCTTTCAATGGTTGCAAATTCGTTTCGTAGACTGTCAAATCTTTCAGCTTGATACTTACTTGCATTCCAACGGTGCAGGCTGAATGCAAGGACATGCTTGCTATGCTTGATCTGAGGAGAGGCACCCTCGCTCTCGACACAGAAGACCCATCACTGGCTGACAAGCTTCTCACAAGTGCTTCGTTACAGTTGAAGGTATCATGCCACCACCTATCATTCAGTTCTTCTTGTGTATGATCCAACAGAACTTAAGCGGAAGTGCCCCAAGGATTGGCCGTGTGGCTGGCAGGGGCTTTCATCTGGTTGGACTCTTGCAAGCAGTACTTTTTTCAAGGCTCCGTCACGGTTTGTGGCTTTTTGTATCCTTTTTCAATTCAGTTTCTACTCATTGTAGGAGTTTGGCATCACCTTTGACTCTTGAAAAGCTCCATTTTGTTATTATCTTTGCTCCACACAAATGTTTGTGCGCTGATGTGGCAGCTCAGCTTGAAGCCCTTAGGTTGTCGCTGTTTTCAGTTGATCCTTATCAATCACTTTAGGTCTCAGCTCTCAAGTGGTAGCTCTCAATGTACATCGAAGTTGTCACCAGGTGCTTTTGGTGTATGGTGAAACTCTCAGACGCGATTACTTTCAGATGAGAACGCATTCCTACACTCAGCTTGTGCTTAAATGCATTCGAAGTTGTTTTCCTCTGGCCGTCTCAACTGAACGAAAGTCTGGGTGCAGATTTTGGAGGAGCGCAACGTGGAGGCCCTACAGGATGCGTACAACCTGCTGGGTGTCATCTGGAGCAACCGTGACGAGCAGAAGAAGGCTGAGTCCTACCTGCTGGAAGCACAGCGGCTCTACCACAAGTACCGTGCACCAACACAGGTGGCCGCTCCAGTTTCGCGTGCACCATGCCCTGACATCGAAGCTTACCAAGGTCCACCCTCGGAAGCAGTTACAGGTACTGGTCCGGCAGACGCCGGAAATCGTGGGCCATCTGTGGACCGGGGAACTTCTGCGGAGGAGCAGAATAGTAGGATCGAAGCAGGTTCAGAGCCAAGTCCGGAACGAACTGAAGAGTTCGAGAACACTGAAAATAGTTCCACCTCAGCCAGCAAGCCTGCACTTGACGTCCCTCCCAGCAGCGGCGATAGACAGCCAGAGCCAGCCCCGGAGACAAGCGGTTTTAAGACAGAAACCAGCGCAGAAAAGGAATCGGAGGGTGGATCGAGAGAGAAGGCGGAGTTTCTGTACACGATGACGGCGTTCTACCTGGCTCAAGTGTACGGCCACTCCCGGCAGCAGGACCAGATGGCAGAGTTCCTGGGCATCACGCTGGACCGCCAGCTGCGCATGGGCCACAACTTTGAGCCGCTTGAATGGGCACAGAACTGCGCACAGGTAGGCGCCCGGAAATATCAAACATGATACTCAAAATGAAAAAAGGTATGTAGGATCGTTAAACAAAGGGGGATGGCATATAGAGCTCTGCAATCCTGCAACGTGCTAAGGACTCGAAACCGATCCTTTGGTCCGGAGCTATCTCCGTCCACCGGTGATTAGTTGCTGGTGAACAGCAGATTGCCTCCTTCTACTCGGTCAGTTCTCCAGATTCGCATCTCTTGAATGTCTGGGCAAAAGCTCCTCTTGGCTTCGAACTTTCAGCCTTCTCGGCAGCTCGCCTTGGCCGCCCAGGATCGCACAAGAAGAAGATCCGAATCTACCACTTGTGCAGGTCTCTGGCTACTTCGTTCAGCAAGGCGATTACGAGACGGCCGCTCACTGTTTGGCGGCGGCAAGCTTGGTTCTGGAACGGGCGGGCATCACACTGCAGACGGAGAATGGTGGAGACGTGGTGGCGAACGTGTTGATTGGCTGGGGCAGACTGTGAGTGTCTGTCTATCGAAGGACCTCTGTCGTTTCGTGTTGTCCTCCTTGCGGGTCGACGGAGTAAGGGCCTTGAATTTCGTGGGGACGAAGTTTTTCTCTCTACCTAGGGAGTTTCAGGATTCGAGCCAATAACCCGAAGAATGAGGGTTCGTTTACAGCCTCTTCTCCCTTTAGTTGACACCTCACGGCACTGCTTGGACAGCATGATCAATAGCTCGAGCAGTGGACAAAGGGGTGCAAGGTCGCCCTTGTACACCTTGCATCACGTACTGAAGAAGCTCAAATCAGCAACATAGCCGCCTCGGCTTCTACCTTAATGAACCGCAGGCCGAGCACCAGAATTTCAGGTCCGCTTCCACTCTCCACCTCTTTCAGCACCTATTTCGAGCAATTCGACCAACGAGTCTTTCTTCTGCGGCAGGCACATGCAAATTATCGGCAACTCCCGGTCCCTCTTCACCAGCGCAGCCGACGAGAACGCCCTCTCCGCAGCAAGCGGCCCGGGGCCCGCGCCGGCGGTTCTGCAGGATCGCAGCAATCTCCAGCCGCCCGCAAACGGCAAGGCGTCCGCTGGCAAAGCCCCGCCGCAACCGGACGGGCAGCAAGATTCTAAGCCCACCCAACGACAGCTGCGGTTTGAGAGCCTCAACCTTCCCTCGACGGGTGCACTAAGCGGGTGCGACGAGACTGGGGGGGTGCGCTTGTACGAGGATGCGGTCAAGCAGTTCAACAAGGGGATGGCGGCCTTCAAGGGTGCGCTCGAGGTAAGGGGCGTCCCCCTATCGCTTTTTGCGTGCGGACGGCCGATTACGTAGATGCTTTGATGCTCCAGTCCTGTCCACTTTTCCAGGTTCCGAACGCCAAAAGGCTCGTCCTTCATCAGGAAGCCTTCGATTCTCGCTGCAAGACTGTGTCATGCTGAAGGAGATACGATACTCGGCTGACTTCTCTTAGTCCCTTTCTCATGGTCCTAATGCTTAGCCCGTGCCTCCTTTGTGCAGTACTACCGGCTGGATGGGCACGTGACCGACCACTGCAGCATCCTGTTTGACATCAGCACGCTTCACAAGTACCTCGCGTTCCTGGAGTCAAACGAAAGCCGCGTCTGCCAGCTACACAAGCGTCGGGCCACGAGATTAGAACCCTTAGTTAGCGCCCTTAACCCCAGCGCGTTCTCCGGCGTTTGGCGGCAGCTAACCTACGAGTTAGCGTGCATTAACCAGGAGATCGTCGACGTGCGGTTGAGCCACAGCCGCCCGTTCGCAAAGTACGGGCCTGCCGCGAAGGATGCGGTTAAGTTCTACACGCTTTTCCTGGACAGTTTCCGGGATGCGAAAGGGAAGGTGCCGGAAAAGGTTCCCGAGGGAGAGGAAGAAGAATACTTGCTCGCGCAGGTTCAGCTGGCTATGTTATACTACAAATTGTACGACAAGCAAAATGAGGAGCGCAGAATAGAGCATTTGGTCACAAGCTTGGAACTGTACACCGCTTTTTTGAAGTACGTCGAAAAGCACGCGGTGAAGGGCATGGACGAACGGGTGCAAGTGTGCAGAGAGATGGCCGAGTTGCTGCCTACGAAGATCAATGCCGAAAGAGCCAGCACTAGATGACAATGCTGGGGAACGGGGAAATTGAACCTGATTCGCTGTAAGTTGATGCGAGTACGTGGAGCTTGTACAGGTTACTTTCCCCAAGCGGTGAGGTACTTGTTTACAGAGAATACTTCCTTGTCACGACGTACTGAGTGCCTCCAAAGTTCACGGAAAGCCTTGCATGAGGGATTCTCAGTATGAATGAGTCATGCATGGACACGCACTTATTGCAGACCATCAATTATATCATGCATGGGCGGCCCGGCGGCTGCGTGATATATCTTGTCAAGTCGATAGCTAGTTAGTTGGACCCGGCGTGAGACCATGTCCGAGTGCGTCGATTGCGGACTCACCGTCGCGGTCAGCTTGCTGCAACATGCCATATATACTGCATGATCGATGTGGTAATCAACTTGTGGAACGTTGAGTCCACAACGTTGCCACAAGCGCGCGGCGCCACGGATCGCATGTGCACATGCATATATGATATGCCATTACTACCAAATGAAATTGGCCCAATTAAACCGATGCAACTGGCATACCATGTGATACCGTATGCATACGATCCGCATGCCCATGTAAGCTGAACGCAACAGTTCATAGTTGCCTGCAGCCTGTGAGCAGCTCACAGCATGCAACGATGCTGGGCACCCATGCAGCCTGCGCAGTGAGCTCCGTACCATCGTGGTGTACGTGATAGCTTGCAACCTGGGCCGTTCTTGATGCCTGTTGGGGCAGGCAGCATGCACGCATGAAGCGTGGTGCATGTCATACATGATGCGTTACGGCCCGTGGATAGATAAACCTCCTCAGTAGCAGGTATCGCCTTTTTTAAAAAAGTCACTATCAACATCCACCGAACCCGCCTGATCCTTTTAGTAAAACAGTAAACTTGAAAGATTGTGGACAATTTACGAGTATGCGGACTCGATTTAGGAGGCCGGGTTGCGGAATAGAGGCGACTCAGTCCGCGTCCGATTCGACCTCCATGTCTTCGTCTTGCCAGTCGAAGTCCAGCTCCCGGTCAGACAGCGAGGGAAGGACGTCAAGAGACGCCCGCAGAATGTCGTTGTCGTCGAAAGTGCTGAGCGCCGAGGAGCGAGCTGCGGGAGCGGAGCAGATTTTGTTGGCTGGCCATGTTCAACAGCACGTTTGAGCAACATGCTCCAAAGACAATTGTCACGATCCAACATGGATATCAAACCGACCTTTTGCTCTACCTGAAAAGCAGGGGAAACCATGTAGGTGCATGATATACTCATGCGTAAGAAGCAACATCGAGTCTTGTTCTGCGCGCAGCATCGACTGGCTTTTGCGTTTACCTGTTGCTTTGAAGTCGGGGGAGGACGGCTGTGACACATCGATAGGCTCGAGCCGGCTCTCATCGTCAGCAGGGGCCTGCACAAAAACGGCACAGAAATGTTGATGGGCCAGGGTTGAACATGCCCACATGTGGGCAGGACCAGAAGCAGCACGATCTGCTGGCTCCTCTTACCCTGGAGAACAAGTATGCAAGCCTGAATCCGCCGCTGCCTGAGCTCAGCACTGCACACGGCCGCTGGACTCCGCGCACTTGACCCCGCAAATCCGTAGATGGCCTTCTCTCGAGCAATTTCTAGCAGCATCTCAAGCCTGGCTACCAAATGCACATCATTTCAGAATGAGAAGCTGGATATCATCCTTCCAGATCTTATCCTCATGCTTATATGAAAGCTCTTGTGCTAAATGACGGAGCCAGGAATGCCGGCACCTTTCAGTGTTGTTCTACCACAAGCGAACTGTCTTCCAATCTCGTAGAACAATAGATCCTCCTGGGACTTGATTGTACCTGTTGAAAGATCAGGGTTATCTACAAGAATCATTCTACTTTGACCGGTTTGGAAGAGGCTGTGCGAAACAGCTGGAGACTGGAGGGGGTTGCAAAGCCAATCTTACCAGGTCAGATGCAGAGGTTGTTTCAAAGACAAAAGGACGGTCATCATTGTCCAAGCCCAGCAGCCGTCGCATGCTCCCTGTCACGTCTGCACACCACAGCCACCATGTGTTATGGTCTAGAAGAGGGCCACAGGCTTTCGACTCATGTGATTCAAAACTCGGCAATAAGGTCGACTTTATTTGAATGACCAAGTTGCATCCACGTGACAGCTGGCAGAAGAAATTGGATACCCTGCGGAGCTTACTTGTCAGACCAGTAATCCCAAATCTGCTGTGGTTGAGAGGAGGGAGAGACCAAAAGTGCGTCGGCTCTCAGTAAGCCTCAGGTACTGCGCAGATGAATCTCAAGACGGCAGAGCACTTTGTTTGCATCAGAGCATGGCTGCTCTCACCCTTCTCCTCCTGCCTGGCGCGCAGCTCCTCCACCTGCTGCCCCGTCACATGCACGTGCTCGATCCCCGTCTCCGCCAGCATTGTCGCCCTCTCCCTAATCTCCGCCTTCTCCTGGGCGCTCAACCGGAGCTTCACCCCCGCCACTATCCTCCTCCCATTCGCCGTCCGCCTGACGGCTCTCCTTTCCCTGTCGCTCGCAGCCTCTCTAGCAGTGCTAACCAGCCCCTCAACCTCAACCGCCTTCTCTGCTACTGTTTCCCTAAGCCCCTGCTCAGCCTTTCTCTGCAACTGCACTTGGGCCTGATTGGTGATGTTTGCAAGGGCCCTCCTTGCCGGCGTCTGCACTGCCTTGAGGCCGTCTGCCTTGAGCTTTGGGGTCTTGGCTGCCTTGCTGCCTTGCCCTGCGTTAGTGATATCTCCTAGGGCCCTCCGACCAGGGGTCTTTGCAGAAGGGCCGGGAGTCTTGGCTGACAGCCCAGGGTTTTCAGGGACCAGCAGGGTTACTTGCTTGGTGGATCCAGCCTTGCGGGACTGCATGCCAGGCTTGGAGGCAGAAGGGAAGCCGGCGCCCTCTTTGAAGTTGCCTGGAGATGCAGAACAATGCTGTGATTTGTTCCAACAAGTGTTCAGACTTGCTGAAGTATGCAAAAAGAGACATTTTATCTGTTGGCTCTACTCTTCTTATTGCAGTAGAGCAACTTCCCGCATCTGGTAAACATGAGCAGCAATGGCATCGCCCAAATGTACATTTATTGATTAGAGTGTCCCAACGTTGAAAAGCAGCTTCTGCTTCACAAACCATCTTGTTCAAAGATCAATGCCTAGCTGCATTCATTGACCCTGCATTTGCCAGTTTCGCGAAGATCAATTCATCTGCTCTTTCCGTGCATGTCTGCAACCCAACAGCCTCTTGTTCCTTTCTGGGTGCAGTAGTCTACACCTCCATTGCCTTGGGAATCCAATGTCAGCAATACATTCAAAGAGTGCAACAGTAGTCTCACAATTGTCCCTGCTTGCCTAGCATCTCAACATGCTTTCAAGCGTATGCAAATCATAAGGCCAGCAGTTCTCACCTTTGCCAAGGACAGCATTCTCCTTTTCATCTTGGACAGGGATAAGGGCGCGGCTCCGCAGAACCTCCATCAAGTCACTAGCCTTATCCTTATCCAAGAAATGCAGTCTGGTTGAAAAGCTGATGCAATCACGACGTTTGCGTTTACTTTATTTTGCAAGAGCGCCACACGTCACTTTTCTACATTACGTGAAGTGGTGAAGTGGATCGATGCAAGCAAGGGAGTAATGTCAAGCAAGGATCTACGGGGCCTGGCTAGCGAGCTAGGCGGTGGGTTGTCACGTGACGCAACGTCCTGCTGAGATCGTAAGAGGACTTCTTCTAAAGCTGATCAAGCCTCCTTGAAAGCACGCGCTGGCGGCTTCCTCCTGCAGAATGGAAAATCTGGTCTCGCCCAGGCCCGACTGCACTGTGCAGGCTGCCGTCACTCAAGAGCACTGTGCACAGTGCAGTGTGCAGTCTGCCTTGCTCTGCATGGGCAACTTCAACTTCGAGCAGCGGAATGGACCGTTACGATTGGGCGCCAATTCCGTGGTGAGCATCGGACGGTGTGCTGCTGGTCATAGGACCATCGAACGGTTTGAGCTGGCATAGCGACCCTTCTCTAAGCGCTACTGCGCGTGTGGTCGCCGAACAATGTGCAGCATCATGGCATCGCAGGCAAATGCAGGGCAGTGCAACTCCAGATGGTGATCCTGAATGTGAGAAGAAATAAACGAGGGCTCTCCTTGAAGGGCGGCAGTGAGCTGGTGGTCCTCATCATAGAGGATAGAGCATGTATCCACCATGGTTTCTCCAAGCACGATAGACGCCCGACTGAGCCTGGACAGGGAGCATGAAGACCAACTTACGCAGGTGAGAAAGTTTTCCGATCTTGAAAGTTATTTCCTTTTCATTTTCGGACCCCCTGTGGATATTAATGATGTCTTCGAAAAAGGGAGCAGAGATTTCTGGAGCCCAGCTTCTTCAGTACCAAGGAAAGGGAAATATGAAACCCTAATTCGAAGGCCTGAACTTCAATGCAGAATTTTCTATTGTCGGATGAGTTCACGAAGCAGGAGTTTTGGAGCCCAGAAGTGCTGCAAAATGTCACATTTGAATAACCAATGCCTCACTTGTGAAGGATATCAAAAGACGGGGATGCATGGCTTTCCCGAATGGAGTCAAGACTCTGCATAGTTGACCTGCTGCCCAGCTCTTCTTGTCTGGCAGCTGCTTTCACCTCCCCAGAGGTCCAATCACCACTAGCCTTCCAGGTCTTATTCTTGAGCTCCAGCGCAAAACTGTAATTTGCAACCCTTTCCAGGTGTTCCACATGTTGGACACAGATCGAGACGGGCAGCTGACATTGGAGGAAGCGGCACATGCGGCCCGCTTGCTGGGACTTCACCTGGTTCCAGCTGGCGCTCCCCCAGGCAGACTTGCTCTTCCCACATTTCTACAGTCTCTCAGGCGGAAGACTGCAGAACTTCCTGAGCACGCCCTTGATGTGCTGGTGAGGGGTGCCCCAACCTGAGGAAAGCGGTGAATCTGCACAGTACTTCAATCGGTTTTATCCTAACATGTACCTGTAGCAGATAGGAGAGTCAGAGCAAGATGTGATGCAAGGGTTGTGCGACATCTGAAGTACTGGCTTCTGATAGAGGGCTACTGATAGCAACTTGACGCTCAATGGGGTTCAGATTCTGCTGGTTGACCTCGCCCATCAGTTGACAACTGGGTCTGCCGGATCGGTTGGACGACGCTGGTGCTATGTTGCGAAGCACCTGTTCCAGCCTGGATCTGTATGAAGGGCAATATTCCACGAAAGTGGTAAGTTCGTTTACTCGAGGCTTTTGTCCGTCTCGCAGGCATCACGCTTCGTATCATCTGTCCAGTTGCGTCCCCAGAGCTTGATGAAAGCTGAGGATTTGCGACGGTTTTTCCTAGAGTCAGCGGAGAATGTACCCATTGCTCGCCTGCAAGAAATGATTGAAGCCATGGATTCAAGTTTAGAAGGCAATGGAAGCAGCGGCGACGACTTCGCTACCTTCTTACATCAGGCCAATGATGCAGGCAAAGGGATCCATTCACGTTGAAGTATCTGTATGTCTAGCTCTGCGTCCGCTCGGCTGGCGAGTGATAGGTAGGCGCTTGCGGCCCATCAATGAGGGGTATGCCTTGTATTGAAAGGTCCTGCAGGACTGCCTAATGTAATTAAGTAAAGCTAGCAGAACATTAGTTCAAATGTTTTATTGATGGGCAACTGATGAAACTTGAAAGGCCAACTCAGGTTTCTAATGCAGCCACGCCGAATGATGTTGCACATGCACTGACGCTGTGCGAAACGAGCTGAACGTGTTACAACTCAGAGCTTGGCCGCCAGAATGAATCATGTGGCCCGTGGCCTTGCAGATCGTACGTCCATACGTATAGGACTGCGAATCTTGGATCGAATCATTGGCATACATGTTCGATCTGATCAACTTGCCAGAGCTGTGCATACTATAACACCTACACATGAGTTGATTGCTTGCACTCATGCACCTAGAACCGTGCACATTGGTACGTGGCTGATCGACCTGACCGTGAGTAACTTGATCGTTCAGATTGGATCCAGTCTATGCATAGAGTCTGCACACGAGCAAAGAGGCACATGCATATTTCGGCATTTGAAGGGGCAGAGCGACAATGTTTGCAATGAAGCAGCAGCAGCGCACTGTTTTGGAGCACCTCTGAATCGATGAAGTGAAGCAATCTGTTGAATTGGACTTTTAACAAGGTATTTTGAGGGTGACGCTTTACAAACTTGTGAATGCAACAGTGTGGTTCCTGGTTCCTCGTTTTTTCAAAAGGTGCCTTTTTGAATTTACACAGGCCGGAAGGGCGGCCGCTGTGGCCTTATCGACTTCTTCCTCTTCTTGCCGTCAGGCGTCCCCTTTCCAGGCGTACTGGCAGCCTGGCTGGCTGCGTTCTCGATCTCCGCTGAGGGCGACAGACCATACGGCATTATTGACATCCTTTCTAACCTGGCCACACCCTTCTCGGGGGTGACACCCAATCCCCCCGCTAATGACTGGCTACTCTCGTCAACTGACACCAAGAAGTTGTTCCCCTGTCTGCCTCCGGCTTGTGTCAAGCCAGACGCCTGGCTGGGCCTAGCACGTAACACCTGGGCACGAGGCGACCTCTGGAGCCTTTTCACACCAGCCGTTCTGGTGGGCTGTGGAGAAGCCAGCCCCGAAACTTGGGAGGAGGAGACCCGGGACGGATGCGCACTTGACCCCTTGACAATCTTGAGAACCCTTGCCCGTTGACTTGCAACAATCTCCGGTTGAGTTGCTAACCCGGATTCCTGGGTGGCCAAATCGCTCTGCTGAGTGGGAGCTTCCCACGGTTGAGTCGCTAACCCAGATACCTGGGTCGCTAGCCCAGACCCTTGGGTCCCAGCAGGCCTAACCGGCTCCTTGACCCTTGGAGTCACCTCCGGGTTAGCTGTTCCCCTAGCCTCAGGCTCCCCGTTTTCTAAGCTCGACCCTTGCGTGCCAACCTCCTGGATGGGCTTGACTCGCCGGCCCTTCCTCTGAACCCCACCCGTTCTCGCCCGGGACTCTGACACAACCGCCCGGTCTTCCTCGGTTGCGGCCAAACCCGGCGCCTCCTCTACTTGTCCCAGACTTGCCGCGGGCTCTTCGACCAGCGCTCTGCTTGCCGTTGCCTTCTCCGCCCGTTTCCTTCCGGCTGCTCCCTTCTTCTTTCCCCCGGCCGCTTTCGCCGGGCTGTTGTGGGCCAGTTCAAGCCCCGGGGACGCTTCCCCGGGCAGCATGGAAGGCGCTCGGTAGTTGAGCATGTCCTCGTGCGGTTTGTGGAGGCTCAGGACTTTGAGCCGGAACGGGTGCGCCGAGTCGAACACCGCGAAGGCACCCTCGTCGGGCACTGAAAGGTTGCCGTTGTTGATCTGCGGGACAACCAATTGAAACTATAGCAGCCAGACACTCCGCTTCATTGTCCTGGCATACTCTCCAGACCAGGAAAGCGGCTTCAAGCGACACTCGGATCCAACCGCCCTTCCTCCTGATCCGTCTGACGGAGCTGCATTCTGGGAGCATCGCAGAAAGATGCGCCGGAAGCTATTCTCAGCAGTACCATTTGTCCTTGTAACGAGCTGAACCAGAAACATTTCAAGGAGTCCCCAAACAACGAAAAAGCGGCAAACAATTTGGCAATGACGCGCTTCTGCACCCACCAGCTGCAGCATGGCCGCGAAGAGGCGCGAGATCTCGTGCTTCGGTTGCCCCTTCACTACCTCGGTAAACGGGACCACCACTTCCGCTGACGTCAGCGCGCGCTCGTCCTCGGACGGGGGCCCAGCCGTCGCCGTGGCCGCGTCCAGCACTCGCGCGCCGTACAGGTGGATGTCGAACTCCGGGCGAGCATCCTGCGGAAGCGCGGAGCGCTTGCATTTCGAGGCGGCACAACGAGCGAAAGAGCTGCAATAATAGGTGAAGCTTCTCAAGTGTGGACACTCGAGCATTTCGAGAGCCCTTGGGATTGGCCCAAGACACTGACCAGGAATTCTGATCCAATAAAGAAAAAAGATTCGCCAAGGATCTTAATGTCTGCGTTGCCTGCACGCCCAAGTAGGCGCTCTGATTATTATCGCGGTGCAATTCTCCATGCTTAAAAGGGGCAACGGGAGTGCACACGAGCGCCAAGAAAGAGCAAACTTTTCGCAGCCTCTGAAAACGTCATCTAGGGCCAGCGAGTCTTGTCGAGCGCGGGTGCCCACCTGTTCCTGGAGCACCGGCTCGATCTTGTGCTTCCACGTGGCCACCCGGGCGGCCAGGTCGGTTTGCACCTCCGCCGCTGCGGCGGCCTTCAGCATCGCGTCCTGCACCGCCGCAAGGCTCGAATCATTCAGAGCGGTCCATAGACTTCGGTCCCTGGTCCATGGGTGAGGGCTGAGAATTTTAGAGATGCACTACTCAAGTACGCGTGGATTTTCGCTCCCTACATGGTCGAGTCGGACGCAAAAAAGAGCAGGGAAAATGAGAGCGGTGCTACTCACGATGTGCTCTCTGACCAGGTCCTCGTACGTCTTCTCGGCTTCTCCCGGTGGGCCTACTGCACCGCTGTCCGCGCCAAAGTAGAAGGGGCGATCTCCTCCGTCGCCCATCTGCCAAGAATGGAAAGGACATCAGCTTCGACTGACACTGAGCTTCAGACTCGGTTGCCAATAAGAACGCAATGGAGATATCAATTTCCGCGGTCCCTTTCTGGAGGGCTTTGAGAGTCATGAGACATCGAAGGCTAGAAACTAAGCACCTTGCATCCGGCAGGAAGGACGCATCTGGTCTTAGCTGGTCGCAGGTGCACAGGAGAAGGTGTACAAGTACACTTTCAAGAGCACACACCATAGCTAATCAAGGACGACCTTCAATAATCTGAAGCCCGTTATGCTGCTTCTCCTTAAGATCGACGGATGTTGAATGCACCCTCTACTTTCACAATCTGGTTTCCAGGATGGTTTACGTTAACAGCCAAGGTATGCCTCGATTGAGAGTACCTGAACATGCCTGGAAGGGTGCCACTTGGGCTGTCAATAAAATTAAGATGGCAGTGATCGCCCATCTCACCTCAATGGCATCCACTGGCTCGTAGTCGTCCCCCCCATCCGGGAAGTCGTCGTCATCCCCCCCCCCTGCGGCATGCCAATCATCGCCACTGCCCAACACATTCTCCTGTTCTCCCGCCACTTCGCCGAAAGCTGCGAAGTCGCCTCTGTAAGTTGCCCTGTTTCCGGCCCCTTCTCTCCGTGATACCCTCTCAGCCCGCAGCCTAGCTTGGAATGCGGCGGCAAACTCCGGGAAGAAAACGCCCCTGGCAGGAGCGAGAGCGTAGGGCGCCTTGGCGGGCACTGCGGCAGAGCGCTTGGCTTGGGGACGGCGGACCGGGCGGCCTGGCAGAGAGAGTCTTCGGTGAGAAAGAGCCTTAAACCTGAGACGTTGTGACCAGCAGTTCGTGCACTTTCCGACTTAGATTGATTCTGGAACGGGCTTAATCAGGTCATCAACATCATGGACACCCTGACGGGATCGGTTCGGGGAATTTGTGAAAAAGACTGCCTTTGCTTAAAACCTACCAACTCATTTACCAGAACCACACAAAAGCAGCCCTTTCAAGGTGAACGACCATTCCGCACCAAGCCTTCAAAGCAGTCAAATATGAGCCGACTTCGCTTGCCTTGTGGAACCTTCTAAGTGGATCGCAAACCACCCACCTCTCTTGTACGGCCGGACGACCGCCGTCCCTGGATCATGGGGGTCTAGCTGCTTCCACGGGTTGATCTCTTCTTCCTGCTGCTCAGCTTGAACAGGTGCTCCGTGCTGCATGGCCCCCCTGGTCTGCATACCAGGGTCAACAGCACCAGCTTGGCCTGGGGCTGGGTCCGCAACGCCTAGGGCCGCCTCCTCCTGTCCTGGGGGATCCCCTGTTGGACCGTCCCAGTTGTCGCCGCCGCCCCCAAAGTCGTTGTCATCGTCATCCATGTGATCAGTGGCTGCAATGAGAGGAAAGTCAAGAGAGTCTGGAGCAGTTGATATTGACAAGGGGGAGTTCTCTTTGAAGGCGGGGGCCTGCAGCGGGGGACAAAAATTCGCGTTCTCTGGTCAGCTTTGTACAGTCTAAAGATGCAAACCGGGTCTCCTTGTGGTGATTTAGAGAAACGATAATCCTTCCTCTGCAAAACTCTTGGGTCTGGGAGCTTTTCAAAGCAAACCATTCAACATGCCCGCCTAGCTATTGTTTCTCGTTCACGGGTTGCCACCTGTGAGAATACATCTGTGAAGACCCTTTGGTTGCAACAGTTTGTCACAGTTGTTTGAATCTCAACCTGACCCACCCTCATCCACGCCGCCATTCTGGGGTGCCGTTTTGGCAGGACTCCAACCCTCTGGATGCAAGCTTGGTGGTGACGCTCGGAAACTGATAGGCATCAGCTGGTCATCCAGCAAGTCACCATCCCGGGGGTCGAGCAGCAGAGCCCCCGAAGAGTGCACGGTACAGCTGTTGATCTGCAATCGTCAAACAGGATTGACCGGGGTGGGCGTCATTTCAAGTACAAGTTTATCTCAGAGAGAAAAGCGACGTTTGACTAGATATGGAAGAATCTATCAAAGCAAGGCGTTGACACTTGACACTCCAATCCAGAAAGGCTTCTCCCTGAAGGTTCTTCAAGGGAGACCATGAGCCACCCCGGCCTTGAGAAGTTTTTCCGGTGTAAGAATGAAGGTGTGATCACTTGCGACTGAAAGGTCAATCGGGAATTCCTAGACCTGGGCTCTGGTGAAGGTTGGGAACGTTGTGGCAGGCTGATTCTTCGATGGCCAGTGGGATGTCCAGTCTCCTTTCGCATAAAGTGCAGAGCACCCTCATTCCCAATGAAGAGAAGAAAGGCAAGAAGTAATCCTCTTAACCCACCATTGTTCATTCATGACCACCACGAGCAACAAAATTTCTCCACAGCGCATGCTCATTGATAAGCTCTCGACAACCAGCTGATCAGACAGATCAAAATAGAACCTAAGTCACCTTGTATGCGGCCGCTTCGCCCCCCATGTTGCCTGGCCCCCCTGGCCCCATTCGCTCATCCTCCATAGCCAGCAATGCTGCGGGAGGCCCCCTTGTCGCTGCGGTGAAAATTGGGTTCTCCTCATCCGCCACCTCATCCAGGTCAATGCCCGTGCCCTCTGCATAGAAACATGCTTCTCAGCAAATCAGCAAGGGCATGTCCGACCCAAGAGATGTTGAAGGTAAGGAGTGACCGCTCCGTCGACCCCGCCACTTTGACCAAGTTTGCAAATGAGCGTAGCATGCAAGAATTGAAATGCTGCAGGCGTTTCTGAAGGAAGTATAGGTAGGTCAGAAGGCTTCTGTTGATGATGAAACATAAGACTGTACCTGGGATGTCATCCAGCAGCAAGAAGCGCGCCTCCTCTTCCTCCTCTTCATCCTGGATCGCATTTCCGCTGGCTTCCAAGTCAGCCCCCGCTTCCTCTGCTCGCCTGCACAGGCGGTAAACCACTTCAAAAGTACTCGAGTATTTGCATGATCAGTTATCCCTTGATAACTCGATATCCTCCTAGTTACTTCAAACCTAACTCAATTAGAAGCCACTCAAGCAATGCAGTGTGCACAGAAATGCTAGGGGCTCAGCAAGCGAGGATGGGGTAAGCCTTAGTCAAATTAGTTCTTCCTGAAGCAGCCAATCACATACCAGCAAAACAGGGGGCAACCGTCAAGTATGCCACCTTTGTAATCTTGCATTTCCATGAGTTGGGCAACTCACTTCTTCTTTGCAATGACGTCCAGGGCTTGGTAGACCAGACCATAGAGGGACTCCACCTTCTTGCTGTAGATGCATGCTGAGCCTTGGATTACCAGGGCCGCTGAAGATGCAATTGAAGTCTGTCAGATGATGGGGGGGCTTTCCTGAAGCCTGGCAATTGTAGTTCTAACTTTTTACAACCGAAGCAATGGGATCAGAGAACCGGCACCAGCACCAACTACAGCTAGTCTACCAAGGGTAAAACATGGCAGGAACCTTCAAAATTGTATGCACATTGGTCCTCACTCAACAAAGCATTGGAGTGCAGCACACAATCAATTTGAGGCAACATCCTCTGTCCATGTAAGTAGGGTTAAACCGAAGATCAGTCACGACACTGGCTACCAGCCAGCCTGCTTACCCTCTGCAAAGTTCAGGGTACTGTGGCCTCCATCGAAGGAGAAGGTAATTGACTCCAACTCCTCCAAGTAGTCCGAAAGCTCAGCCGCAATGTCTATGTTCCAGTTGCCGGCCAGGTCCCGGATGGGCTGCAACAGGTGAATGAACCGGCTCTCCCCTTCGTGCTGATCACGGGTGCCCTGACTGACCTCCATGCCTAACAGCAACCGTGTAAAAGTACTGAGTGATGCCCCAATGTATTCTTGGCAGTCTAGATCAAATATCTTGTCGTGCTCGCATTGTGCGTACAATTCCGCCCCCGCGCCTTTTCATGATGCCATGGGACTCTCAAGGTAAGACTACCAGTTACGAGCTGCAGCACGCGACCAGATGCCACACCCTTTCATTGCTCAACCTGTAAATGCAGCACCGCCAACACCAGCAGTGACAGCAGCGCCTTTGACGCACCTTTGACGTCCTCTCTGACTTCTGTACGAGGAAGAAAGTGACTTCAACCAGTTTGTAATTTGACCCCGTCCTCTGTGTAGAATTCCAATGTTTTCGTCAGAACAAGCGACGTATTTTCGACCGTCAGAATTTTTGACCTTGTTTGGCACCCAGGAAGGTTCGATCACCGGTGTACGGAACGCCACACCATTAAAATCACTCTGAGGAGATTGACGCGGGAATTGAAATCCAAACTGATCCTAGCTTGCGAAGACATCACTTCAAGTCACCACATGTTTGACAATGACATGATGGAAGTGAGCGGCATTTTTTCAGACGATCAGCTCTGGCGTCTGATCAACAGTGAAGAGAAGACCCCTCCTAGAAGTTGCAGGCAGATGCGGGCTCGTTGCTCTGACCTGGGTTCAGCCAGCCATCGCAGGTTGTCATGGCCACAATGCGTCAGCTGACGGTTCAAAGAGCCTATTGTGACACTGCAGTCAGAGCAAGCGAGCGGGTCAGGAGCTTGCCGGCGTTGTCATATGCTGGTCGCCACCTCATATCTTGTCAATCTTCTATTGCCAGCCCTGCAGAGGTCTCAGCATTGTGGCGGCAATCTGATCATTGAGAGGATATCGGAGAAACACCATCCTGAGACGCGATGCCGCCATGTCTGATACCACAGAAGCACGCGCTAAGATTGCAGGCGGATCCCTGTATCCTAGTACTCCAAGGGTCGATGAGCCCTCTGTTCTGGAGGAATGTAAAATTACATTTCCCCAGCTTCCACGGTGCAAGATCTCTGGACCGGAAGAGATCAATTAACCTCTGTCCCGGATACTGGAATAGAGACACGCTTTCTCAGAAAGTGTGTTGCAGCTTATCCACAAATATTACCTCGCATGGCAATTTCCAGAGCATGAAGATCGGAATCTGGGATTCAGGGATTGGCGGTCTAAGCGTAGCAGCTGCGGTGCAAGATGTTCTGGTAAGTGCTTCAGCTCAGATCCCTCAGATCCCTCTTCTTGAAGTAGCTAGAAGTCTTAGTCCTTCGTCAGAATTTCATTACCAAAGGTGGTAATAGAGCAATGCCACGATTCCAGGCAGTCATGGAGTGAAAACCTGCTCCAAAAAGTTGATTGCAAAACGGAACCCTAACCCTAATGCTGCTTCTTGCAGCCAGGTGTCAAGATCCACTACATCGCAGACACAGCGTATTTCCCTTACGGAGGGCAAAGCCAAGAGATTCTGGTTCAACGAGCTTTGTACTTGAGCCACTCGCTCGGTAAGTAGGCAGTGCTCCATCACAGGCAGTTGAGCCAACATTCAAGTTTCCAGGGAATCGAACGATGATTTCGTTCTGACTGAAAATAAGAAACTAGCAAGATTAGACCAACAGCAGAGAGCAATGCTTGATTGACATTGACGGTTGATTGCCCTGTTTACCTGCTTACACTTAATGTAAGACCTTTCGAAGGCCTGAAGCGCATTGAGACAACTAGCTACAGGTTTAAAACGGATACAGAAAATTGCTGAGAGCCGCCTGAGTTAAAAGTGCATTTCATTTGACGTAACCTCCATGATCCGCGCTGGCTGCAGTTTCAGATGGATGCCAGCTGGTGGTTGTGGCATGCAACACTGCGTCATCAGCAGCCCTTGAGTGTGTCCGTGCGAGGTAAGCCCTGTGCATGCGGAGAAGTGCACTTTCCTCTGTTTCGTGGCGGTCAACTGGGGGATATTGGTGGAAGTTGTTCTTCTCGTAAGGAGGGAACTTGCATGTCTGAACCAGTCAGGTTGTGCTGTAGATGAAACAGAACTTAATAAGCTGACCTTCATGACAGAAGGGCCAGTTAGCCAAGTCTTTCTTTGTGCTGCTGTTGTGAATCACTGTCTCTGTGAGGGCAGTGTTCACCAGCTGAGGAAGATGCGCTGGGCAGTGTGCAGGTACCATGTGTTGGGGTAGAACCTGCTGTGAAGCCTGCGGTCCAGATGAGCCAGTCAAAGGTGCGCGTCAAAGGAGCACATTGACCGTACAAATCCGAGTTGGGGGCTGGATCAGACAATGCCATTGCGTCATACAAGTGACAATTCATTCATGTATGGAAAGGATATATCAATCAAATGTGTTTAGTTTGAGACTTTTTATCTGAATCTTCTAGACGATCCTATCCAACAAAAGTCAACGAGGGGCTTAATCATGGGAATCTACCGTACTCAAGGTGGACAGATTGTTTCCTGTCGACGCATGAAATTTCTGCCAAGACGCTGACCATTCCTGAAGATTCTTCACAAACTTCCAAGGTTGACTTCTTTTTGACAGTGGATACCCTCTCAGCTGAGACGAACCTTGAGGGGCCTCAGGCTCAAACAGTCGCTAAACAGACCGACTAGTTAGCAGGCATGATCTCAGGTTTCCAATGATTCTGCTGACATCTGTGCTCGATGTGCAGCATATTGTCGTGTTGGCGACGCAGCACACGGCAGAGGGGCCCCGCCTGGCAGCGTTGGTCAGGAATCATGCGCACAGTGCCCGAGTGTCCGTGCTGCCCATGCCAGGGCTGGCGGATATGGTGGAGGCAGGACAGGTAGGCCCGTGATACAGGCAGAGTCCAATTGCAAGAAGCACCCTGATAAAGGGTGGACGTTGGTGCAGAATTCCTTCAGGGTGCGCTTAAGGCTTGATATATCGAAAGCAGTGAAATCTGCTGAAAGATTTCTTTTCTTCACAGAAGTTGACACGGTGGTCGAAAGTTTGTGCAAAGGCGGTGATTCTGATCAACTCAGCTTCGATTTCTCCTGTTCCTCTCCAACTGTGGAACTCTTCAGATCCTCCAAACTTGGAAAACAATTCAATCTGCGGGTCCATCGTCTGCAAGGATCATGGACGGTACTGGTGGAGCGTGCCATCTTAAGGATAAACCTTTCGGGGTTTGTAGGACCTTTTGAGGCAAATTAAGCAGGCTCATCTAAACGAGACAAGCCTTGCCCTGCTTGCCGTATTGGACTTTACTCATGATTTTTCTGGATCGCGCTTCCGTGCAGATTAGCGGGCCAGTTGTGACGAGCATGCTGTGGTCCCAACTGGCCGGGCCGATCTCGGAAGGAGCAGATATGGTAGTCCTAGGGTGCACGCACTACGCTTTTCTGCGAGTAAGCACGCCAGCTTCGACTTCGAGGTCTCTCTATCAGCCTTGCTAGCCGAAAACTCGTGTCGGCTCATCCTACCACAATATTTGAGTCGCAGGATTAGCAACTTCGAAGCATATCACATTAAGACTGGGCACCCTTCCCGCTCGACCCTGGTTCCACTAATTTTACTCTCTACAGCTTCTCCTCTCACATTAGTTTGGCAAAGCACACCCTGACAATTTCTCATCCTTGAAACGGGGTCGTTTTCGCAACTGCAGGACGTCCTGGCAGAAGTCCTTCCCGAAGGTGTAACTATCCTCGACGCTGCACAGCCGGTGGCTAAACGAGTCAAATTTCTACTTCACGACGCTGTGAAATCAGATAGTCTGTGCGTTCCGCCGTTGATGAATGGAATCAGTAAAGGCGCAGAGTCCTACGTTGATCTGAAGGTGACGGGAGAGCAAGTGCAAGTAGAGGAAGTGCTTGACCGACTGAGCTCAAGAGGAGCGAAGTTGCCCCGAAGTATACTCTTCAGGGCTTGTTCGAGACGAACTTAAAGCCTCTTTTCATTGGGGAAATATTTTGGTGCTCAAATTGCAACATTTCCTGCATTATAATGTCTAGATTAAAGCGACTCTTAGTAAAAGGATTGCTTCTTGAGCATCTCCAGTGCTTTGCACAAACACTGGCCAAACGGGACAAAAAATCACCGATACATACACACAGCAGGCGCATATTTTCTTGTGTGTTACCACCGCTTGGCTGGCAACGTCTGGGCGACATGCCTTGCCAGGCTTCAATTAGCTGCATGCCGTTGCACAGATGGTTAACACGCAAGAGCTAGATATGGCCGGCCTTCATGTGCGCTGACTTTTGAACCGTCGATCTTCAAGTATGCAGAGCTATATGGTCACGCGACGGACATGGGGTCCGAGAAGCCCTCAGCAGACGTTTGCATCATCCAAATACTAAGAGAGCTGCAGAAAGAATGTCGGTCTGGATCATACATGGGCCGCCCATTGTGCATTGAAGCAGCTTGCACTATAGGCGGCTGCATACAAATACAAGTTGCCGCAATTGGGTGACATTCCACATGCGATGCATATGAACGCGAGCGCCACTGTCGCGATCGCTTCGATGCGCGTGTATACGTAGATACCGCGTTTGGCGTAGGCCGGTGTGACTTAATTAGCGGCGCAATCAAACGGTCCATGAGAGTTTGAGCGGCCTAGCTCGCGAAAAGCGATCTTCGAACTCGTTGTCATGGCACAATTCATATGAAGTACGTAAGTATATGACATTACGGGGCCGTCGAGCTAATGCCCCCCGCGGTCTACATGTCGTAAGATTGTAAACTTAACAGTGGTGACAACATAGTCAAGGCGATCAATAGGTGAAATGATGTCCACTCACAAATGTAATGTTTATGAGAAAAAAAGCCGCTGACTTCAACCAAAAACCGTCATGTCCGTCGGATCCGCCTTGGACTCTATGAACGCCGCTGCCGCGTCGGCGCAGAAGAAAACGGTTTGCGAATTACCAGTAAGCTTTCAAGCCAACAGCTCTGACATCACAAGATTGTCGAGTCGGACTCGACGTTGAGTGTCAACGTTCTTCAAAACACAATTTGCATATGTAGATTTTGACTAAGTCGGAAATACTTTGTCAGGACTTTGATAGTTACCAAAGAGAGCTGGTAACAGGGGCGCTAGAATGCCCCATGATAGTCCGAACTTTTATGTACACAAGGTGCATGCACAACTCAAGCGTGCGCATATGAATGTCCTCTGCAGGCTTGCCAAGAAAAACTAAGCCGTCACTAGAAAAGTCTACTCCCAGAAGACCAAGGTCCTCGTCTCAATGCTTTGCCGCGGCAGCGCATCTGCAGGGGCGTGCGGGTGGTCGAAAGCACTGTGGCCGGTGAACCGCGCTACCGACCCGTCTTCGACGGAGTCGTACGACTTGAACAGCAGGGCCTCCTCCGCGCGCTGCTCTGGGATGTAGTACCACCGGTGCGCGGGACTGGCAGAAGCAGTTCGGCAAATGTGAGTTCAACGAACGTCAGTTCGCAAATCGATGAGAGAAATCAAATCGAGGAAAGAAAGAACTGGAAGCCGTGGTCACAAGCTGTGGTCACAAGCTGAACTCGCTTTGCTAACAGTTCTTCATGACTCCTCTGACAAACCTTCACAATTCATCCACGAACCTTCGAGCTCCATCGGTTACGATGAAACTTTCACATCTTCCCGAGCAAATCGTTCAGCTCACTGTCTCGAACGTGGTGGTGCCCTCTATTCGCCTCAGTAAGAGATCGTCGAGCGTTCAAAACCGGGCGCCCCGCCTTTACTTCGACCCGAGCAAGTGGCTCGCAGTGGCTTACTTGTGAGTCAGGCTGTAAACCTCCCCCCACCGTCCTGGGAAGGCAATCTTGGTCGGGACCAAGTCCTCTTTCGGAATACTCCGGGCGTCCGCAACAGCAAGGGGTGTGTCCTGGACCGGGCCCTGAGAATGAAGAAAAGCGAACGAAGTCAGAACGGTAGGCACAAGCGATAATTTGCTGCCTCGCTGGACTGACGAGGCCACATCCGCCGCTGAGTACATACGTATGAGGACATAACAACCGACACCCGGCCCGGTGGTGAACTGAATGCAGTGCACTACAGGGCAAAGAGGCTGAGCGAATTCAACTCAACGCGCCAGAAAAGCACTGCCTCAAAATCGCTCCCACATGCTGCTTCCTGAGGCCTCTGCAATCCCTCTGCTGCCCCACTGAACATGTAAGTATGCATCCGACTTTCCTTTTGCTGGATCTGAACGTCGTTCAATTTGAAAGGTCGGCCTCACCCGCAGCGGCTGCCATACGTTGACCTCGGCGAAGCGCCCTTTCAGCAGTTTCTCCGCCTCGTCGCCCATGAGTTGCTGGATCTTTTGGGGTCCGGAAGTCACCGTGTAGTCCACGTGGGCCTTCCTCACTGGCTCCCGCTTGCCTACCTTATCCCGGTTCACGTTCCCGCTGTTCCAAACAAAGTATGGCCTGAGTGTAATTGACACGACCACTTGCGTATGGGAAGACTATCAAGTTTAAGAAACACATCGACAGGCGTTGTGAATGAAAACTCTGTAGCAATAGGACTTGCCAAATATAGAGCTGGAACAGTGCAGGAACAGGCAGCCCCAGGGTGTCAACACACTTAAAGAAGTCCACCCAGCAAAACAAAGAAGGTCTGCTTCTTTGCCAACTTTAAATAATACAGAAACCCAATTTTGGAAGAACTGGCCTGATCCGCATACCTGTGGACAATGTCAATCAGTGCAGACTAACCAAGCTTGATAGAACTGGCCTGATCGGAGTACCTGTGGACCATCTTTACAGTGCAGACTAAGCAGGCTTCTGCAATGGTTGAAAGGGAAAGACGTTTGGTTTGAAAGCTCACGCTTCGCCGTCCGGGACCTTCTGCTCTGGTTGCTTCCGAATTGTATGGTCAAAGATGAACACTCTGGATGCCCCTGTGGCCGCTTTCACGAGCTCTATAGCCTCTGGATAGTACACCTTTTGAATCTCTTCCACATTGTCCCAGTCCTTCACCTGGGTCCTGCAACCAGAGACACTTGTTGTTGTTAGTGGCAGAAGCAGGTGCGATAGAGGCAAAGTGACATGGACAGACCCAGACATACCCAGCAGCTCCATCGGTGGCTTTGCAGTTGAGCCGTAAGGCTCATGAAGTGCGGTGTCAGCACATTCAATCAGGGTGGTGGCAGCCCATATATTCAACGTGAATCTTCCATCTTCCAACTGGTTGCAGATCACTGACTTCACTTAACTTCTGGCTCCCAGCTGACTGAGTCCACTACTGTGGTTGCAAGAAAAAGCTTGCTGTGATGCCTGAGTGGCAAATATACCAGCGCGCCAACAAACATACGTAAACGAATCTCCCGACACAGCTACACATAACCTGAAGCTATGGCTCAGAGCCCCATCCAATCTGTACATTCTTCAGAACGACTCGCCCACCTGTTTTCGAGGATTGTAAAGCCCTGCTTATCCACCGATAAGCCCTCTGACGCCGCCAGCGCCTTCAGGTCTCCAATCTTGACTGTCTTCAGCTCATACTTGCCGTTTGTCTGCGGGTCCCCGTTTTCAGGTTGGTATGTGTACTCAACGAGCTGGTGGCTCTGAGGCACCAGGTACCGGATCTTTGTCTCCACATGAGGGCTGGCGGGGGACTCGTCAGCGTGCGCCCCATTTGCTTGGTGAACTTCCACACCCATTTTGGGGTGGTCTGTCGAGAAACTTTGGAAGAAGGAAGAGCTGGTCGAACAAACCTCCTGCTGGCAGAGAGCTAGCTTGAAAAAGGGCAAAGATTAAGCGAGTAAAGGAAAAGTAGGCGACTCTGATTCGCAGTGACGGTCAAGAAGCTGGCAGCTGGCAGGCTTGCCGTTGACAGCAAAAGCAGACTGACAAGAAGCAAGGCCTTTTGTGACGTTGAGCTGCTCAATCACAAAGCTGATTGTGTATCTGTTGTTCTGCAAGGAAATCTGCAAGTGACTAGTGACAATTTCTCACAGCGCTTTTATACTACCAGCTAAGATAGAGGACCCGCCGATTGGATGGTTTTCTCGGACTTGATTTAGGCAATGCTGTGATGTTGAGACCAACCTGCAGCTGACTCCACACGCCGGGAGACACTGTGTTCGCTGTATCGTCTCTTTCAGCAGCTCAACAGATACGTTCTTCAAAGCGGCTTTTAGCAGTCTTCCTCCCAGCTTGTAGAAGGTGTAACAAACTTGCATGGAAGATGTGCATGTCGCGCAAGATCCATGATGCACTTTCTGGATGCGCTCCAGAAGGTTCACAGCTGGATTCAGTGTACAGAATCCCGGCGTGTCAGCAAATTTCGTAATTTTCGTCAGACGGAGAAGTTTCGGTAGAGTTCCATCACCGTCCGATCGGAGATTCAAGGAGCATCCGACGGTCACGAGACCCCGTTGCCGACGCCAGGAAATTGGTCGGCACTTCACAGCTTCCCGGGCCGTACGTACCGCGGCCCGCCGCGCGGTGCCGAGCATAGCCAGGTGGCTTTATTCGATTAAAACCCTCTTGAGTTTAGAATGTCCGACTCGGTCGGACTCGGACTCCATGCAAGGTTTGCAAGGTCGAGTCCGGGCCCCTGTCCAAGTCTCTCCACCGCCATACACTGATACAGCGCTACGTAAGCGAGCTTGACGGCAAGCCCGTCAGAAGTACGTCGACATCTGCATCATCATGATCATGGTGATTGTTGGCGCCTCGCTCGATTAAGAATTACCAGTTCGCCAGCTGGACAATATCTTTACAGCGCGCGCCGCCTAAGACGTCAAGACTCTTTCTGCAGTCGATCATAGAGACCAACGTCAGTTACTGAGCGACTTGGAGCATCACTGGACTCGACTTGATTGCCGCATGAAGATTCAACGTCAATGCTGTCGGTTCGTCGAGACGAGCTTCGTAGAGTCGCTTCAAACGGCGAACGTCCGACCGCATCCATCCTGTGACCGGCTTCGAAAGTTCGCCCAGATCATCTTCCAACCAGCCCCGGCTTCTGATATAACCGTTCTACTTTGTCTTAGGTTTAATCTGGTGGGCTTGGCAAACGACACCGCCTCGCGATCCGTTCGATCCGTGGAGGGGCAACACTCCATCTCGCTTCTTCAACTTTGCATGTAGTCCAAGGCGCGCTCAATATAATTGCGGAGCTTGCGCAATCATCTGCGACAATCCACTAATGTGCACCACCCTTTGGAAGATGTTCTCGAATCTCGTTTTACCAGATTAGTAGTGCCATGCGGGTTGGCAAAACGACTGAGGGCGGCCAGATTACCAGGGCGTCCTCTTCAAAGAGACTCGAGGATTGCTGCAACAGACTGTGCATGAGCGTTACATTGTAAGCAAACAGACGAGCACAATGGTGAAAGCCGCAGTTATACACCAACCGGGCCCCCCCAGCGTTCTCAAGTACGAGGACATCAAGGAGAGGCACCCCCTGGGCGGAAGCGAGGTGCGCGTGCGGCATGCAGCGAGTGGGGTCAACTTCGTGGACTGCTACATTCGGCGCGGGGAGGGGGGGTACAAGCCGGAGAAGTACCCCCACATTCTGGGCTTCGAGGGGGCGGGCCCCATCACAGGCTTAGGCGAAGGTGGGCTGAGGACCTTGGGTCGCAAAGTTTGACGTGCCAATGTTACACAATGTGAACGCTGTGCTCAATGTCCTATTCAGATATATTGGGGCTTTGCTTGCCTCTCCTTTTTTACCACCCCTTGCGCCGCTTGCTTTCCATTGCCGTTGCTGTGACTTGAGGTCTCTCACTTTATTCGGGCTGTTGTTGTAAAGGTGCTTCGCTCTTATTAAAAGGAACAGGATCGAAACGTTCATGAGGCTGGGTCGAAACAAAAATTAAGGTGGGGGCTCCGAAAGCGGGGTGAATGTGCGTTCTGCTTTGGGCTACTCAAAAAGCGAAGGGCGACGTCGTGCATGGAGCGGCCCAGACGCAAAGAACGAATTTGCTTCTAGAAATTACGAGCCGGTTGTCTTGTTGATTGCCTTTAGCGCTGACACAGGATTCCGTCACTCCTGCTGCATCAGGCTCCTGACCTGCATTCTTTCCGGCCAAAGACTGTGAAAAAGCGAACTCGTTTGAACGACCTGTTCTTTGAGGAGCATTTGAAATCTTCTGGTCTCGAAAGCCTCCTTCGTCGCCGGTTAGGAGCTTCTGGAGGCCGAGATGAGTAGTGATTGCACTGTTCGTATGTTTCTTGGAACTTCTACGAATCTTCAGTCTTTGCTGGATGTTGCATTCGAAGCTGCAGTTGGCCTTTCAAACAAAATGTTCGCGTTTAAGGCGGAGCAATCCACATCGAACTGTTCAGCCAGCTTGTGCTACGTTTCTTCTCTTTTGAAAAGTGGCCCGTGCCCACGGCTTGATAAGATGGCCACGAGGTTGGGACAGAGAAGATCAAGTAGCGCACCATGAAATCTGCACGAACTTATTCGAATGACTATTTCGTCCGTTAATGTTTCCACTCAGAATGCTGCAATCGGAAGTCTGAACCTTTCCTTCTACTGCCAGCTTGCGCTTGGCTCGCTTTCTGTCAACCAACTTTTCCGTTCCTCCGCAGACGTGTCCAAGGAGGACTACGAAGTGGGCGACCACGTCACGTACCTGACCCGCGAGCAGGGCGCCTACTCGGAGGAGCGCAACGTGGGCACCGACCGGTGCATCAACCTGAGCCGCTTCTACCCGAACACCGAGATCAACGGCGTGGACGACGAAACGGCAGCCGCGGGGCTGCTCAAGGGGATGACCGTCTACATGCTGCTGTATCACGCGTGAGTGACCCGGAGTCCCAAGACGCAACTTAGGGTAGGTCCTTTGAACGGTCCTC